TCGAAAACGATAATAAAAACACAATTCCTGTGTATGTTGTGAAAGATGTGAGTTTTTTGGGAATTTCAAAACTTTTAGAGATGAATTTAAGCTCATTCTAATCGCCGAAATCTGGAAAATCAAAATGAATTAGAAAAAATTATATTTCTGAATAATTTCAGGGTAAACAAGCACTGGCTAGCAAAACCACCATAGCCACACGTTTGTGCCGAGCTAAAAAACATCACACGACTAGTCAAAGTGACTACGATGCTGCCGTTAATCAATATGTAAGTTTGTTTGATTGATTTTAAATTTAAATATTTGAATTCAGCACGTTTAGAGCTTCAAAATGAGTATAAACACGACTAGGCTCCGCCCATTTTGATTTTTTGACCTTAAAGGCGCATGGGGGTCTGAAAATTTGAAGTTTAAGGAAAGTAGGTCATGATTATACTTATTTTGAAGCTCTAGACGTGCTAAAATTAGAAATTTTAGTATCAGTCGAATATTCCCGAAATTCAAAAAGTTATGATTGAAACAATTTTTCACTGAAAAATTCAAAAAACAAATTTAAGCTCATAACTTTTAAAATTTTAGCTTTCTCTGTCCGAAACCTACAAATTTGAGTTTTTCATGTGAAGAGCTTCATAATGAGTATAAACACGACTAGGCTCCGCCCATTTTAAGAAATTCTGACTTTAAAGGCGCATGGGGGGTCTGAAAAATTAAAATTTTCGAAAGTAGGTCATGATTATCATACTTGTGAAGGGCCGGGCCGGGCCGAAACACGAATTTCACCGGCCCGGAAGTTTACCGCGAACTTCAAAATCTTGAGCGAAAAGTTGAATCATTGTTTCGAAAAAAGGTATTCAGTGTTTTTTTTCTTCGAGTTATTTTTCAATACATTCTAAAAATCAATGAACTGGGTTTTAAAACCTAAATTAAACATTACAATCAAAAAAAACAATCAAAAGACAATGAGAAGTGAACATTTTCTGCCGTAATTTTTGAAAATTCAGAAATATTGAGATTCTGAAGTTCTGAAATTCTGAGGTTTTGAGGTCCTGAAATTATGAGATTCTGAAATTCGGAAGTTCTCAGATTCTCAGTTTCTGAAGTTCCGAAATTCTCAGATTCCGAAATACTGAAATTCCAAAGTTCTGAAATTCTAAGAATTCTGAGATTTTCAAGCTCTGAAATGCAGAATTCAGAAACTCCTTCAAAAAATTGTACCCCCGAATCACAAGCGTTGTACCCCTGTTTGAAATGAGTTGTACCCCAGAATCATTGGTAGTTTTCACCCCCGAATTTTTGTACCTACAAATTTTGTTCCCTCGAATCACCAATTTTGTACCCCTAAATCAGTTGTACCCCCTTGTACCCCCCAAATTTTTCGCCAACTATAGGATAAGGCCGAAAGCCTTGTTTCTTTTGGTAGTATGGGAGACTCTGTGGAAAAAAGTAGTATAAGAGACCTTGGTAGTAAAAGAGAATTGGTAGTATGAGAGACACATTGAAAATAAGTAGTATAAGAGACAGTGGTAGTAACAGAGACTCGGTAGTATAAGAGAAAGGTAGTATAAGAGATGGTTGTATAAGAGAATTTGCCCCGAAATTCCGCATTCGCGTTGTTTATCGCTTTGACAAAAATGGCGGCTGTTTAAATTCATTTTTCAAAAATTTTGTTTTTTTTCTGCCGGGCCGCCGGGCCGGGCCGGGCCCTGAAAATTTTCTCTCGGCCCGGGCCGCCGGGCCGAACCGGGCCGGGCCGAAATTTCACAAGTATGATGATTATACTTTTTGAAAAGCACTTGATGTGAGAAATTCTATGGAATTAGAAAAGACACAGAAAAGTCAAAATTGAGAATGATTTTTTCAGAAAATCCGACGGCAAAATGGGATAAAAGAAGTTTTGGATTCCAGTTTGAATTATTTCGCTCCATTCGTCAAATTGGTTCTAGAGAATGCGCCGGAAGAATTCTGGCAACGTGCCAGAATGACTGGACAAATTGAAAAAGTGAACGGCCTTCAAGAATGGCTGAAATTTAACCCTGGATAGTTTTTTTTTTCAATTTTTTTTTCCAAAACCAAATACTTTTTTTTGTATATTTTTCGTAGAATTTTATGTTTGCTGAAACTTGTATCTTTATGTGTAGAAAATTTTCTTCCCGGTTCCTTTTTTAAATGAATTATAATTTTTTGTTGCAAACTTGGATTTTTTGGATTTTTTGGAATATTAGTAGAGTCATAACTTTTTTCAAATTTTGCCGATCTTTTCAATTTTCACACCAAACAATTGAAAATTTTATGTAGATCATTTCAAGTTTTTCAATTTTCAAAAAAGCTCATTTTTCCAGCGATTTCCAGCGATTTTCCTATAAATGCACAAATGGCTCAGTGGGATTTTCCACAATTACCACTACCAAACTAACCACCCGGGTTCGACTCCACCTGGTGGCAAAATTTTTTTGATTTTTTTCTGAGCATTTTCAGACGTTTCTAGAACATTCTAGAGCTGAAATTTGAAAATTTGCGATTTTTTAATAAAGTTTTTAAAAATTAGTATCACAACTTTTACAAAACACAATTAATTACAAAATGACAAATATTATCGTACTCCGGAGGTCAAGAGCTTCAAAATGAGTATAAACACGACTAGGCTCCGCCCACTTTGATTTTTTGATTTTTTGACTTTAAAGGCGCATAGGAGGTCCGAATATTGAACTTTGAGGAAAGTAGGTCATGATTGTACTCATTTTAAAGCTCTTAACAAGAAAAATTAAAAGAAATCAGAACTTTGAAGATATCATGAAGAATTGAAGAAATTTGAGGATTTTGTAGTTGCTTGGAAAATCTGAAAATTCTTGAAATTGAATTTTAAAAGCTGAAACTTCAAAATTTTATTTTGAAACCTAATTTTTCAGATTTCTGACGTTTCGAGCTTCAAAATGAGTATAAACATGCCTATACTTGGTGTGGAAAAATTTTTGGGTGGGTCCCACCACGAAAACTACAGTAATCCAAATTTTTGAAGGAAATGGGGCATGATTATACTCATTTTGAAGCTCGTGACGTTAGAAATTCAATGAAATAGGTAAGAATTAATAAAAACTGAGGGTTTTCGAGAAATTTCAAAAAACAAATTTTTTGATTTTTTTTTTTCAAATTTCAAACCTCTTTTATTTGGTGTAGAATCCATAATTCGCCAAATTGAACTTGGAGCCGAATCCTCCTAGTCTTCTAGACGGTTTTTCAGAATTTTCAGAAGTTTCAGAAGATTCAGAAAATTCAGAAGTCGTCGATTTTCGGGACTTCAAGGATTCCAGGGATTCAGATTTTTGAAATTTTCCAGATTTTTGAAAATTCTGATAATCTTCGACGTCTTCGGCTTCATAGAATTTCAGAATATCGATTTTTGGATCTTCAGAAGACGTCGGGAAATTTGAAAATTCTCGATTTGGCGGGAAAAATTCGATTTTTGAATTTTCGGAATTTTTAGAATCTAGAAGATTCTGAATCAATTTTTCCAGATTTTCAAATTCCACTTTTTGAATTTCCCGCATTTTTTTAACGTCTTCAGAAATTTCTAGAATCTCGAATTCCAAAATTTTCAGAATTTCCAGAATTTCAGAATTTTCAGCCAAATTTTCAGCCAAAAATTTTTTCATCGAATCCAAATTTTTTGAAAATCTCTCTCGTTGAATTGGAATATTTAGAATTTTCAGCAAATTTTCAGAATTATCGATTTTTCCATATTTCTCCAACATTCCAATTTTCTCCAACGCGTTCTCGAATTTTCCAGCCAATTTTATGTAGGAAATCAAGGCATCCAAAAAGGGGGCGTGGTCAGAAATGGGCGGAGTCTTAAAGACATTTTCTATTTTCTCGGATTCCTTGATGATTTGATTGATTTCCTCGCAAATCGATTGAAATACAGATTTGGCGAAATCTGAAAAATTACGTTTGCAGTCATAACTTTGTCAATTTTCTATATTTTTGACTGCAACTAATTTTAATCAACTTTTCACACTGAGAGCTTCAAAATGAGTATAAACACGATTAGGCTCCGCCCACTTTGATTTTTGGACTTTAAAGGCGCATGGGGGGTCGGAATTTAGAAATTCGAGGGAAGTGGGTCATGATTATACTCATTTTGAAGCATTTAATGTGAAATAATAGAAAATCAATTTTTATTCGAAAATCTTGTGAAATAAGAAAGTTATGGGGAAAACAAAGCTTTCGAAATTTTTCTGAAATTTTTAGTTTTCCTCATAACTTTCTGTATTTTCATTATTTCGGACTGAAATTAAAATTATTGAATTTCTCACGTTTTAAGCTACGAAATGAGTATAAACATGACCTACTTTCCTCTAATTTCAAAATTCGGACCCCCTCTGCGCCTTTAAAGTCAAAAATTGTCAAAAAACTAAACAAGGCGAAGCCTAGCCGTGTTTATACTCATTTTGAAGCTTTAGACGTCCTGAATTTAGATATTAAAACATTTCGAGATTGCTCATGAAATACAAAAGTTATACTGTTTTTGAATTTTGAAAAACAAAATTTTACCTGGCTCTTTTGATTTTGAATGGGGCATTTGTGTCTTTTTGATGTGATCCATTTTGAATAGGAATCTGAAAAAAGGGGTATTGAAACAAAAACTTTTAACACTTGAAACAAACAGCTGATGGAAAACTGAAGAAAAATGAAAGCAATTTTGAAAAAATCATAATTTTTGAAAAAAAATTTTCAAAATTTGATTGAAAATAAAACTTTTAAACCAAAAAAACTTGAGAAAAATGACGATAATAGTTTCCACCTCGAAAAATGCCGTTTTTCCAGTGTTTTTATGCGATTTTTCAAAAAAATGCCCGTATGGCTCAGTGGGATTTTCGAAGATTCCACTACCAATCTAACGACCCGGGTTCGATTCCTCTCGGTGGCAAACTTTTTTGCTTCTTTTTTAGAGCAATTTCAGACGTTCCTAAAACATTCTAGATGTCAGAAATCGAAATATTTGAAAAATCCAAAATTTGAAAATTTTCCAAAAAAAAATTTTGTCTAAATTAGTCGAAAATATGATTTTTAGGACAAAAAATTTTGAAAAACGAGATAAAAATAGTTTTTAACTCTGAAATTTTGACTTTTCCAGTGTTTTCGAGCGATTCTGCGAAAATTGTAGAAATGGCTCAGTGGGATTTTCCATTGAGCCATTACCAACGACCCGGGTTCGATTCCACCGGGTGACAAAACTTTTTTGCTTGTTTTTTAGAGCATTTTCAAGCTATTCTAGAACATTCTGGCGCTGAAAATCGAAATTTTCAAAAATTCTAATTTTTGAAAATTTTCGAAAAAAAAAATTGTCTCAAAAAAGGTTGAGAATATGATTTCTAGAACAAAAAATTTTGAAAAAGTTAATAAAAATAAATTCCAACTTTGAAACTTCCATTTTCCAGTGTTTTTGAGCGATTTTCCAAAAAAATGCACAGATGGCTCAGTGGGATTTTCGAAGATCCCACTACCAATCTAACGACCCGGGTTCGATTCCTCTAGGTGGCAAATGTTTTTGCTTTTTTTTGGAGCATTTTCAGACGTTTCTAGAACATTCTAGAGCTGAAAACCGGAAATTTTGAAATTTTCAGATTTTTTTACTTTTTAAGGTCATTTTTAGTATTTTAATCTAAATTTTATCTGAAAAAAACTGGAAATTTCGAAAAAAAAAATGCTTTCTTGAAATCATTGAACAAAAAAAGAGTGCCAGACATCACGAGATTCCCATGGATACATGATTAAAAACGGAAAACGAGAGAAAGAAGTTTGAAGAGAGACGCAGAGAATGGAAAAAGGGAAAAATGAGCAGTGTATATGATGCATAAATGGCAAAAAGGAGAGAGAAAGAGACGCAGAGAAAAACATCAAAAAGAAAATTTGTTTGAAAAAACAATTTGGGAAAGTACAAAAAATTTGAAAAATGCCAAAATGTTTTTTTGAAAACCTAATTCCCCCCCCCCCCCGCCCATTTTCGGCTCCAAAATAGTCTAAAAATGCTCAAAAAAGTTTGCAAAAAAATTTTGTCACCCAGAGGAATTGAACCCGGGTCGTTAGATTGGTAGTGGAAATATGAAAAATCCCACTGCGGAAAACAATTTTTTTCAAAAATTCTCAAAATTTGGATTTTGTGAAACTTCTGATTTTTGACATCCAGAATGTTCTAGATCAGTCTAAAACTCCTCAAAAAAAGGTTGGAAAAAAATTTTCCCACCCAGAGGAATCGAACCCGGGTCGACATTCTGACAGTGGAATCTTCGAAAATCCCACTGCGCCATTTCCGCATTTTTTGGAAAATCCCTCAAAAACACTAGAAAAATGAAATTTTCAGAGTTAGAAACTATTTTTATTGTATTTTTCAAGATTTTTTAATCTAGAAATCATATTTTCAGCAAACTTCGGAAAACAATTTTTTTCAAAAATTCTCAAAATTTGGATTTTGTGAAACTTCTGATTTTTGACATCCAGAATGTTCTAGATCAGTCTAAAACTCCTCAAAAAAAGGTTGGAAAAAAATTTTCCCACCCAGAGGAATCGAACCCGGGTCGACATTCTGAAAGTGGAATCTTCGAAAATCCCACTGAGCCATTTGTGCATTTTTTGGAAAATCGCTCAAAAACACTGGAAAAATGAAATTTTCAGAGTTAGAAACTATTTTTATTGTATTTTTCAAGATTTTTTAATCTAGAAATCATATTTTCAGCAAACTTCGGAAAACAATTTTTTTCAAAAATTCTCAAAATTTGGATTTTGTGAAACTTCTGATTTTTGACATCCAGAATGTTCTAGATCAGTCTAAAACTCCTCAAAAAAAGGTTGGAAAAAAATTTTCCCACCCAGAGGAATCGAACCCGGGTCGACATTCTGACAGTGGAATCTTCGAAAATCCCACTGCGCCATTTCCACATTTTTTGGAAAATCGCTCAAAAACACTGGGAAAATGAAATTTTCAGAGTTAGAAACTATTTTTCAGCGTCTTTTTCAAGATTTTTTAATCTAGAAATCATATTTTCAGCAAACTTCGGAAAACAATTTTTTCAAAAATTCTCAAATTTTGGATTTTGTGAAATTTTCGATTTTTGACATCCAGAATGTTTTAGATCAGTCTAAAACTCCTCAAAAAAAGGTTGGAAAAAAATTTTCCCACCCAGAGGAATCGAACCCGGGTCGACATTCTGACAGTGGAATCTTCGAAAATCCCACTGCGCCATTTCCACATTTTTTGGAAAATCGCTCAAAAACACTGGAAAAATGAAATTTTCAGAGTTAGAAACTATTTTTATTGTATTTTTCAAGATTTTTTAATCTAGAAATCATATTTTCAGCAAACTTCGGAAAACAATTTTTTCAAAAATTCTCAAATTTTGGATTTTGTGAAATTTTCGATTTTTGACATCCAGAATGTTTTAGATCAGTCTAAAACTGCTCTAAAAAAGAAGCAAAAAAATTTTCCCACCCAGAGGAATCGAACCCGGGTCGACATTCTGAAAGTGGAATCTTCGAAAATCCCACTGAGCCATTTGTGCATTTTTTGAAAAATCGCTAAAAAACGCCGATAAAGAAAATTTAAGGAATTTTCAGTGTTTTAATGTGTTAAAAATGTGATTCTTGATATGAAATGTTAGTTTTTTACTGTACTTCGAATGAAAAATTTCTTGAAAATTTCTGTTTTGTCAGAGTAATTGAAGAATCGCGTTTTTGGCTGCTATTTGTCATATCCTACTGTGGAGGCAGGCGAAATCCGGCACACTTAATTACTTTGACAAGACAATCTAAATGAAGAGGACAAGCATTCTGTATTCTATCTTTTAATTCGAAAAATTGAAGTTAATTTTCAGAGTTGACAACTGTTTTTATCAGTTTTTTCAAGATTTTTTGTTCTAAAAATCATGTATCAAACCGAGAATTTTCGTTTTCAAAATTACCATTTTTTTTTGGAAATGTCGATTTTCGGTTATTTCAAAAAAGTTTCTCAGAAGTTTTTTTTTGAATTGCGTCATTAGGATTACGGTAATTGACATTTAGAAACTGTCTGGCATGTAATATAATACCGACGCAACAGAAACCTTTTTCTGCACACCTTCGCCAGATGGTGTCAGGCAAAAGGGGGAGAACATGGGGTCATAAAAGGGGTGGTGGTGGTGATGTCATAAACTTTGTATTAACCTTTTTTTGTCATCTTTTCATTTAAGGGACTTATTATGAGCAATCGTTTTTGAAAATACAAAAAAAAAATTCTGAAAATTTTTTGGAAACATTTTTTTCTCTCAAAATTAATTTAAGACATGATTTTAGAACAAAAAATCTTGGAAAAGATGATAAAAATAGTTTTAAATTATGAAGAAATCCATTTTCCAGGGTTTTTGAGCGTTTTTCAAAAAAATGCGCAAATGGCGCAGTGGGATTTTTCATATTTCCACTACCAATCTCAATACCTGGGTTCGATTCCTCTGGGTGGGAAAATTTTTTTGCTTCTTTTTTAGAGCAGTTTTAGACTGATCTAGAACATTCTGGATGTCAAAAATCGAAAATTTCACAAAATCCAAATTTTGAGAATTTTTGAAAAAATTGTTTTCCGAAGTTTGCTGAAAATATGATTTCTAGATTAAAAAATCTTGAAAAAGACGCTGAAAAATAGTTTCTAACTCTGAAAATTTCATTTTCCCAGTGTTTTTGAGCGTTTTTTTCAAAAAATGCACAAATAGCTCAGTGGGATTCTCGAAGATTCCACTTTCAGAATGTCGACCCGGGTTCGATTCCTCTGGGTGGGAAAATTTTTTTTTGCTTCTTTTTTAGAGCAATTTCAGACTATTTCAGAAGATTCCAGATGCCAAAAATCGAAATTTTCGAAAAATCTCAAATTTGAATTTTTTCGAAAAAAATTTTTTTTTGAAAAATTTGCTGAAAACATGTTTCTAGGACAAATTGACTAAAAAAAATATGATATCAGTACTTTCCAACTCTGAAAATTCCATTTTTCGAGGGTTTTTGAGCAATTTTCCAAAAAATGCACGAGTGGCTCAGTAGGATTTTCAGCATTTACCAACTTTACCAACTTGTGGCAAAACTTTCTTGCTGCTTCTCAAGATTATTTCAAATTGTTCTAGAACATTCTGGACCTGAAATTTGACATTTTTGAGATTTTGGGGAATTATTTTGAAAAACATTTTTTTTGGAAATATTCCATATTTTGTAAACATCCCATTTTTTCAAAAAATGTTTTTTTTCAAATGTTTTGATTCCTTGATTTCTCTGCGTCTCTCCACCTCTCGCTGCGCAGCAGCGAGTGCAGCAAGCTCCGCCCCCTTTTTGGGGTGGTCCAACACGTCACACCTGCCTAGGTGTCATTTATACTTCTTTTTGGGTCCAAAACATAATTCTCAAAAAAAGAAATTCTTCCCGTGTTTTCTGATAGGTTACTGTAGCTATTTTATGGATTACTGTAGTTCTTGGCACCATGCCAAATTTTATTTTTCAATGCTTAAAATGCTTAAAATCAAGTTTCCTACAACTTTCATTGAAAATTTTAGGATTTTAACAAAAGTCTTATTTTCCCAAGAGTGGGCAGCACGCCAAACTTTAAAGTTCTCAAAAATTACGGTAGATAGAAAAAAGATGTCAACTGCGAAAAGATTCAAAATCAAATTCTGCCCTTAGTTTTTGAGATATGCGCCTTTAAAGATAGCAAAAATGAAGTTCTAGTTTTGTTTAGTATATTCTGAAATTTCCCTGGGGAATCCAATCTTTAAAGGCGCATAACTCAAAAACCAGAAAAGCTAGCAAAGTTTTGTAAACTACGAAAATGTGTAAAATTTAATTTTACACATTTTTATAGTTTACAACTTTTTTGAACTACTGTAGTTTTTTGAGTTATGCGTCTTTAAACGTTCAGAAAGAGGGCGCGGCGCGCCGCCTACTACGAGAGGGGCGGGGCAAGTTTTAAAGGCGCATAACTTTGCTCAAAATTGAGCAACTTTAAAATTTTGAAAAGATGTATTTGTGGTTTTTGATTGGCTACAAAATGATAGTAAAATTGTTCAAATCTTGCTAATTTAATATTTTCAAAAAATGATTTTTTAGCCGAAATCTTTTCTCTTCCTCAAAAACCAGATTTTTAAACTTCAATTTAGTGTATATCCATTTCTAAAAATTCTATTATTGTGCAAATTATATGAAAATACTGGAAATTTTATGGGCTAAAAATTTGTAGTTTATAGTTTTACTCTAGCTACCGTAGTTTTTCAGTTATGCGCCTTTAAAGCGCCCGCCACTCGAGAGAGGCGCGGGGGGAAGGGGAGTTACCCACTTTAAAGACGCGTATCTCGAAAACTACGGTAGCTATGAAAAAAGTGTCAACTACAAAAATGAAGTTCTAGTTTTGTTTAGTATATTCTGAAACTCTCTAGAAGTCTTCAAACGTTTTAAAGAAAGAGTGAACCACACCAATGACAGGTGGTGTCAGTGCAAACAAACGTTCTCCATAAAAAGGACCGACCGGTGCAATTTCTTACCCTATGGTGCCGTCAGGATATGACATCCGAAGTATATTTTCAGAATGGGGAGATTAGGCTAAGAATGGTCATTAGTTTCTTTTTTCGCTAGACGGCCAGGCGGCAAGATAGACGGCAAAGCTTTTTTTTCAACGTTATTGTGGTTTTGGGTGGAAGGGGTTAGAACAATATATAGAATAGTTTTACGGATTACTGTAGTTGAATATTGGCTTGAAATGTTTTAGATCAAAGTTACTACATTTTTGCGGCAATTTAAATCCGTTTCTGGAAACTTTGGCATCGTGCCAAACTCTCTTTTTGAAAAACTACAGTAATCTTTTTTGGGACTCTCTTTAAGTTTGTGATTTCTTTCTTTCAGACTTTCAGATTTTCCTATTTTTTATTCTAAATTTTCAGATAAATTCAAATCTTCTGCTTCTTTGAAACAAACATGTTCAACTTCAAGGATTCCAAGTAAGTTTGATACCAAAATTTCAGAATTTGAAAATTAAGGATTTTCAGCATTTTTTAGATTTGAATTTTTTTTCAGCTCATCTCCAACACGGAGCCACTTGATGAGCTTGACGTCTGAACGAGCGTCTCGTCAAGCTAAAATTGTCAACTACAATGAGAATGCCATGAGAGTTGTGGCTCGGTGAGCATTCGTACCTTAAAACCTGTAATAGAAGGGCCCCTGTCAAACTTATGAATTAGTTGTCAACTGATAAAATGTTACGGATATTATGATAAACGTTTTGTCAGTTGGCCATTTTTTGACATTTTTCACAGGAAGTGAGATATAACGTCTTAAATCTGACAAGTCTACTGCCGACCCCTTGACTTTAAGACAATTTATCTTGCTTCCTGTCCAAGATATGAACTGATTGTCCACTGATAAAATGTTGCTCATATCATCTCAAACATTTTATCAGTTGACTACTTTTTGATATCTTCTCCAGCAAATGAGATATTTGACCTCAAAGTTGAGACTGAGGGGGATATTCTATTGTTCCAAGGTACCTCTGAAGGGCCCTTCAATTAGAGGGGCTCCTCTTTTTTCCCAGGAAATTAACTGAAAATTTAGAGGGGGGGGCCCTTCTAATACAGGTTTTACGGTATCTTAGTTTAGTTGGATTACTGTAGAAATTTACTATTTTAGAGCTCCTTTGAAAAGAAGACAAGAAGGGCCAAAGGCGGGAATTTCTTCGAAAAAGTGAGTTTTTTCAGAAATTTTGAAAAATTAGGATTTTTCAGACCTGCACCAGCCCATCGCCAATCTTCTGATGCCAAGGATCCGATGGAGGATCTTCTTCAAGCCCAAAGGCCGGCTGGCCGTTTCTCGGCCGCCCGTGGTCTGTTGGATACGGTCAGGAAGATAGCCAAGACGTCGTTAGCTTCTGATGGTCCGAAATTTCTGGAAAACCGGAACTCTGATGACTCCCAAGACCCAGTCCATCACTCTGCTCCATCGACCTCTAAAAACTCAAAAATCCAGATCCGGTAATTTTTTTTGTAAAAAAAATTTTTTAAAAAAAGATTTTCCTTTTTTTAACCCTATTTTTTTCAGCCGCCCTATTCTCTGTGAAACCACCTTCAACCACCTGAAAACCGAATTTCGCCAGGAAATTCGAAATTTCATTGAAACCGGAAAAAAGATGGGATGTCAGGAATTTATGCCATTTTTTGAGGACGGTGAAAGGCTTCTGGACACGTATGGAAATTATTCCAAGTGAGTTTTCACTAAAAAATTTGAATTCGGCGTGTTGAGAGCTTCAAAATGAGTATAAACACGACTAGGCTCCGCCCATTTTCGTTTTTGAGTTTAAAGGCGCATAGGGGTCCGAAAATTTAAATTGAAGGAAAGTAGGTCATGATCATACTCATTTTAAAGCCCTAAACGTGGCAAAATCAAAAATCTAACTTTCGTTTAACTTCAACGGAAACGGTCAGGGTTACGGTGATTTGCACGTTTTTGCACCTTACCAGCAGAGAGCCGTAAAACTACCGTAATTCGGCTAATCTTGGCCAAAACTGATTTTACTTTGATCTGAATTTTGTACGTTCAGAGCTTCAAAATGAGTATAAACACGACTAGGCTCCGCCCACTTTGCGTTTTTGGGGAATTTCGACCTTTAGCGCATAGGGGGTCCGGATTTTGAAAATCGAGGAAAGTAAAAAATTCTGGAGCGCGTTTTTTCCAGATCCTTAAATTCCATTTTTTGAGTATCCCGCAGTTTTTGGACGTCTTCAGAAATGTCTAGAATCTCAAATTCCACGATTTTCAGAATTTCCAGAACTTCCAGAATTTCAGAATTTTCAGCCAAAAAATTTTTCATCGATATCAAATTTTTTGAAAATTTCTCTCGTTGAATTGGAATATTTAGAATTTTCAGCAAATTTTCAGAATTATCGGTTTTTCCATATTTCTCCAAAATTCCAATTTTCTCCAAAGCATTCTCGAAGTTTCCAGCCAATTTTATGTAGGAAATCAAGGCATCCAAAAAGGGGGCGTGGCCAAAAAAGTTTCATAAATGTTTGAATTCGGCGCGTTGGGAGCTTCAAAATGAGTATAAACACGACTAGGCTCCGCCCACTTTGAGATTTTTACTTTAAAGGCACATAGGGGTCCGAAAATTAGAATTCCAGGAAAGTAGATCATGATCATACACATTTTGAAGCTCTAAACGTGACAAGTTAAAAAATCTAATTTTCGTTGATTTTTAACTAAAACTGCCAGGGTTACGGTGGCTTGCACGTTTTTGCACCTGACCAGCATATAGCAGTAAAACTACCGTAATTCGGCTAATTTTGGTCAAAATTGATTTTTCTTTGTGGATCTGAATTTTGTACGTTTAGAGCTTCAAAATGAGTATAAACACAACTAGGCTCCGCCCACTTTGCGTTTCCGACTTTTTTGACTTTAAAGGAGCATAAAGGGTCCGAATTTGGAAATTCGAGGAAAGTAGATCATGATTATACTCATTTTGAAGTTCTAAACATGAGAATACGAAAACTTTAAATTTTATCAAAAAATTTCGAAAGTTCAACTAGTTATGAGGAAATCAAGAATTTCATCAAAGTTTGGCTAAAATTGGATTTTCTCATAACTTTCTTAATTTTTACAATTTTTTGATAAAACCATTATTTTAAGATTTCTGACGTCTAGAGCTTTGAAATGAATATAATCATGACCTACTTTCCTCCAATTTCAAAATCCGGACCCCCTATGCGCATTTAAAGTCAAAAAAATCGGAAACGCAAAGTAGGCGGAGCCTAGTCGTGTTTATACTCATTTTGAAGCTCTGAACGTACAAAATTCAGCAAAGAAAAATCAGTTCTGGCTGAAACTAGCCGAATTACGGTAGTTTTACTGCTATATGCTGGTCAGGTGCAAAAACGTGCAAGCCACCGTAACCCTGGCAGTTTCAGTTGAAAATCAACGAAAGTTAGATTTTCGATTTTGCCACGTTTAGGGCTTTAAAATGAGTATGATCATGACCTACTTTCCTGAATTCTGTATTTTCGGACCCCTATGCGCCTTTAAGGTCGCAATTCGCAAAAAAACTCAAAGTGGCCGGAGCCTAGTCGTGTTTATACTCAATTTGAAGTTCTAAACGTGCCAAATTTGAATTTTGTAAAAAAATTAAAATTGAATCTTTCAGAACCGAGCCAGCAGTCAAAATTGTCCAGGATGGGACCCATTACTTGAGGGAGCTGGAGTCATTTGATGGACCCATCCTCTTCAAAAAGGTCAAAGGATTGGGTTTGGAGGTTTCAGAAGAAATCAATGTTGAAAATTTGGAGGAACTTCTAGAAGGTAAAATTTTCAACAAAAAAAATTTTCAACCCAAATTTTTTTTAATTTGAAAAATGTTTCAGATCAGAAGTACCTGAACGTGATCTGCAGTTTTACGCAGATCACTAAAACTATGCCGGTCAAGAAATTCATGGAATTCTTCCGCAAAGATTCTCGAAATGACGCATTCAATGTTATCTCCTTGGAGGTGTCCAAGCTCAAAAAGTTAGTTTTAAAGTATTTTTAGCCATAACTTTTTTAGTTTTCAATACCCGTGTCTGAAATTGTTTTCATTCAATTTTTTACGTGCTGAGCTTTGAAATGAGTATAAACACGACTAGGCTCCGCCCATTTTGAGATTTTTACTTTAAAGGCGCATAGGGGTTCCGAAAAATCGGAATATTCAGAAGTAGGTCTTTTTTATACTCATTTTGAAGCTCCAAGCGTGAAAAACTTGAAAATATAGGTTTTAGCCAAAAATTGTTCGAAATTTAAAAATTATGGCTTCAGCAAGTTTTTTTGAAAATTTTGTTAAACACTTTTTGGATGATAACTTTGGTAATTTTTATTTTCACGAAACGAAACTTGTGCAGCTACATCAGTGACATCAAAAGCTTTAAAATGAGTATAATCATGACCTACTTTCCTAGATTTTCAAAATTCGGACCCCCTATGCGCCTTTAAAGTCAAAAAAGTCGGAAACGCAAAGTGGGCGGAGCCTAGTCGTGTTTATACTCATTTTGAAGCTCTGAACGTACAAAATTCAGGTCCACAAAGAAAAACCAATTTTGACCAAAATTAGCCGAATTGCGGTAGTTTTGCTATATGCTGGTCAGGTGCAAAAACGTGCAAGCCACCGTAACCCTGGAAGTTTCAGTTGAAAATCAACGAAAATTAGATTTTTAAACTTGTCACGTTTAGAGCTTCAAAATGAGTATGATCATGATCTACTTTCCTACAATTCTAATTTTCGGACCCCTATGCGCCTTTAAAGTAAAAATCTCAAAGTGGGCGGAGCCTAGTCGTGTTTATACTCATTTTGAAGCTCCCAACGCGCCGAATTCAAACATTTATGAAATTTGACTGAATCGCAGCAAATAAGGAAGTTATGGTTAAATTTTCAGGCTCGACAGAGAGATCCGGGTCCCACAATACGTGGAGAGGTTCGGGATCATTAATCAATTGAAGACAGCTCTGGAGGCGGAGCAGAAGCGTCAGGGCCGTCTTCTTCTGGAAAGAAATTCCCAGGAAACTCAAAAAAATCTGAAATTTCTGGAAAAAATCATTTCTGAGCTCCCAACTTACCAGAAATTTTTGGTTCTCTCCACAAAAGGATCTTTCACCAATGCTCACATTAACCTCTCAGCCACTGCCACCTTCTTCCATGTGAAAATTGTAAGTTTTAAGCGAAATCGAGACATTCGGACACACAGAATGCGCCCGAAAAATTCCCCCAAAACATGTTTCGGTCCATAACTTGGCTCATTTTCCAAATTTTAGTATGACAATTGCATATTTAAATTTGACTCGTTGAGAGCTTTAAAATGAGTATAAACACGACTAGGTTCCGCCCACTTTGAGTGTTTGGCGGGAATTTTGGCCTTAAAGGCGCATAGGGGTCTGAAAATTTAAATTGAAGGAAAGTAGGTCATGATCATACTCATTTCAAAGCCCTAAACGTGGCAAAATCAAAAATCTAACTTTCGTTGAATTTCAACGGAAACGTTCAGGGTTACGGTGGTTTGCACGTTTTTGCACCTTACCAGCAGAGAGCCGTAAAACTACCGTAATTCGGCTAATTTTGGCCAAAACTGATTTTTCTTTGTCGATCTGAATTTTGTACGTTAAGAGCTTCAAAATGAGTATAAACACGACTAGGCTCCGCCCACTTTGAGTTTTTGGGGAATTTCGACTTTAAAGGCGCATAGGGGGCCCGAAAATACAAAATTCAAGAAAGTGGGTCATGATTATACTCATTTTTAAGCTAAAAACGTGGAAAATCCGAATTTTTAAAAAGTATCTTATATGCTGCAAAAATAAGAATGTTATGAGCAATACAAACTTTTGGTCGGTTTTTCTAAAATTTTTGAATTACTCATAACTTCTTCGTTTTTCCACTAATTTTGATAAACATAAAATTTTTGAACTTGCCGTGTTAAAAGCTTCAAAACGAATATAATCATGACCTACTTTCCCCACTCATTTTGAAGCTCTCAGCGCACCAAAATCAGATTTTAAGTAAATTTCGGGTTTACTCAAAAATTGAAAAAGTTATGAGCAATACTAATTTTTTCAAATTTTCATTGGAATTTTTTGAATTGCTCATAACTTTTTTAGTTTTTAACCAATTTGAATAAAATTAATATTTTTGAGTTTGTCAGATTATGAGCTTCAAAATGAGTATATTCATGACTTTCGAAAATTTCTATTTCAGGGCAAAAAGGTCTTCTACATCGCCCCGCCCACTCCGGAGAATTTGGAGATCTACGAGAGAGTGGAAAAGGAGGAGATGAGCGAGTGGATTGGGGATATCCTGTGGGACCAGTGGATCCGGGTGGAGATTTCGGCTGGGCAGACCGCAATGATCCCATCCGGATGGATCCATTTCGTGTGGACCCCAGAAGACACCATTGCTGTATCTGGCAGCTATCTTCTGGAGAAATATGTCAGCAGACACTTCAGGTCGGATTTTTAGACCTTTTCTCTTATCTAGTAAGATTTCGCGTAAAAATGCTTCAAAATGAGTATAAACACGACTAGGCTCCGCTCACTTTGAGATTTTGGGAATTTTTGACTTTAAAGGCTCATAGGGGTTCCGAAAACTTAAAATTTTGGTAAGTAGGTCATGATTATATTCATTTTGAAGCTTAAAACAAGAGAAATGTGAATTTTCTAATTTGGTGAAGAGATTCTGAAAAATAACAAAGTCATGAGAAAAACTAACTTTTTGCAAAAAATTTCAAAAAGTTGTTGATCCCATAACTTGGTTATTTTTGAGAATTTGCGAATGAAACTCATATTTTTCCTCTCAGCGCGCAAAGAGCTTCAAAATGAGTATAATCATGACTTACTTCACTCAAATTTGAAAATTCTGACCATCTTTGCGCCTTTAAAGTCAAAATTAGCCAAAATCTCAAAGTGGGCGGAGCCTAGCCGTGTTCATACTCATTTTGAAGCACTCAGCGCACAAAATTACAATTTTAAATAAATTTGAGGTTTTCTCAAAAATTGAAAAAGTTATGAGCAATACTAATTTTTGCAAATTTTCATTGGAATTTTTGAATTGCTCATAACTTTGTCAATTTTCAAAATTTCTGACTGAAATTATTTTTATTAGATTTCTGACGTTTTTAGCTTCAAAATGGGTATAATCAAGGCCTACTTTCCGAGAATTTCAATATGTGGACCCTCATGCGCCTTTAAAGTGGAAAACTCAAAGTGGGCGGAGCCTAGTCATGTTTATACTCATTTTGAAGCTCTCAGCGAGCTGAATTCAAATTTTTAGCTATTTCATGATTTTCAGAATCACGGCTCTGGATGAACATTGTCTCCAGAATCAAACTTCCGGAATCACCATGGACCACATGTTCCAGGGCTTCCACCCGGTGATGTGGGCCTATGTGAAGTATATCCTACTTCCAGATATTGCAGGTAATTAGAGACTAATTAGTGGTTAATTAGGTTAATTAACTTTTTTGAAAATTTTTTAAAAATTTGGGACAAAAAAAAAATTTTTTTTTCGAATATTTTTTAATTTTCGTCTTAAATTTGAATATTTCGCATTTTCAGGGCGGTCCGTGAGTCCGGAAAAGCTGAAAATTGTGAAATTTTTCGCACAAAATTTGGAGCCCAAGAAGAGTATGGACCGGAAGTGGTTTGAGGAGGTGGAGCAGTTGGACATTCAGAAGAAACTGAAAATCGAGTCCACAGACTCCAAAATCATTGATTTTTAGGAAAATAAATTATTTTTTTTCTAGATTTTTCAATGATGTTTCTGAAAAAAAAAGATTCAAAAAAAAATTTTAAAAAATCTAAAAAATTGTTGTTCAATTTTTTTTTTTTAAAAAAACATAATTAATTTTTTATATTAATTAATTAATTATTAAAATTCAATTTAACAAAAAAAAACAGGAAAAAATGCAATAAATATTCTTTAAAAAGACATGACCAGAATCATAGATTTTCGAAAAAAGAAACCCCCAAGTAAAGCATTATTCAAAAAAACAACAAAATTTAGCTGAAAAATCGCTTTTCCAGTCATTTTTAGGTCGAAAAAGCACTAAAAAATCACCAAAATTTAGCTGCTGAAAAATCGATTGATCCTGCCTATTTGGACTCAAAAAATCGCCGAAACATCGATATTTTTCTGTCATTTTCAGACAGTTTTCGGGTCAAAAATGACTAGAAAATCGTATTTTTAGATAGAAAATATTAGCTGAAAAATCACCGAAAAATCACAATTTTTCAGACATTTTTACATCAGAAATGGCTGAAAAACTAGATTTTTTTACAATAAAAATTGACTAAAAATCACTGAAAAATCACCTTTTTCAGTCACTTTTAGGCCAGAAAATCTCAGAAAAAATACGAGAATTTTCAGTCATTTTTTTTCAGTCAAAAAATGGCTAAAATCCCTAACAAATCGTTTTTTTTCCACTTATTTTAACATCAAAAATCATCAAAAATCACTAAAAAATCGCTGAAAATTATTTAACATGTGCTTTTTCGTCCGGCGAGATCAACGGCTTCTTGGCTCCGCCCACATTCGATGACGTGGCACTTCCAGAAGACAGTTTTCCATCGATCACATCAGCTGTTAGCGCGGAAAAGACGACGGAGGTGGCGAGCATTTGACGGCCCGATAGTGGATGATTCATGAACAGCACCTGAACAGAAAATGGGCTTAAAATGGGCTGAAAATAGGCTTAAAATAGGCTTAGAATGTCCTAAAATAAGCTAAAAATAAGCTGAAAATAGGCTAAAAATGGGCTCAAATTAGCTTGAAACATGCCAAAAAAATGGCTAAGAAATGGGCAAAACAAAGGCCTAAAATGAGCTAAAATTGGGCTGAAAATGACCTGAAAATAGGTTCAAAAGCCAAAAAAATTGATCTTAAAATAGTCTAAAAATGACGTAAAATATGCTGAAAAAGCCTAAAAAGCCTACAAATCAATAGCCTAAAATAGACTAAAAACAGCTGGGAATAGGCCGAAAATGGGCTAGAACTATGGGCTTAAAATCAACTGAAACGACCAAAATTTGCTCAAAATAGCTGAAAATAGGATTGAAGTGGGCTGAAACTGACAGAAAACGACCTAAAATGACCTGAATTTCAGCCTAAAATGGGTCAGAATGACCTGAAAGGCCTAAGACCAGCCTAAAACGAGCTAGAAGGAAGAAGCACTATTTTTAGGGCGATTTTTAGCGAATTTGGCGTCATTCTGGGTCATTTTTGAGCTGAATTTGACTATTTTCAGCTTAAAATAGTTAAGAATAGCCTTAAAATGAGCTAAACGTAGCCTTAAAATTAGCTTAAAATGGCTAAAAATGACACGACTTAAAATAGCATTAAAATTACCTGAAATGAGCCTAAAAGCCTACAAACGGCCTAAAGACAAAATCGGCTTAAAATGGGCTAAAAATAGCAAAAATGGGCTAAAAACAGGCTAAAACTGTCAGAAAGGTGCCTGAAATGACCTGAAAAGCCTAAAACCAGCCTAAACTGAGCCTGGAACAATTAAAAAATTTATGTTTTAGGCCTATTTCATGCTTTCTCTAGTGGTTTTTAGGCCCATTTAGGCCTATTTCAGGCCTTCCAAACCCACTAAGAGTTCGAAAAGTGCTTGATTTAAGGCCATTTCAGGCCTATTTTGCACCGTTTTGGGCCATTTTTAGGCTATTTTAGGCAAATTAGGCTTCATTTCGGGTCATTTTTAGACTAAAATAGTCAATTTTAAGTCAATTTCAAGCCAGAATAGCTCATTTTAGACAATTTTTGCCTCTGAAATCTTACCGAGATGATGATAGTGAAGAGCTTTCGTGTGGTGGTGACAATTGAACATGTCAACGGCGAGAACTCTTCGATTGTCTTAAAAATGCACCACTGTCCAAGGCAGGAGGCGATCGCCAGACCACACAGGTCCCAGAAGACGTACGGATGACGTTGGACGAAGTAGAAGAACGACCAAAGCTCGCCAGTTACTGAAAAATCGAATTTTTGGGGTTTTTAGGCCGATTTTGGGGCATTTTTGGGTCATTTTAGGGGTTTTCTGATGGTTTTTGGCATGTTTTAGCCCTGTCTTGAGCCGTTTTAAGCTTGATTTGAGACTTTTAAGACCAATTTCAGGCCTATTTCAGCCAATTTTCAGCCTTTTTTTGGGCATTTTTAGGTCAAAATATTCGATTTTTGAGCAATTTTCAGCCAAAAAAAAACCCCGCACCTAACAGGCCAGCTGACAAGTAGAGACTCGAGTACAGATTCGTGTAGAACATCATCGAATTGCCCGTTCGTTGATACGATTTTTTGATGCGATCCTGGATTGACGTCGTCGTTCCGTCCATTGCCAGTGAGAAGATCTGGAAATTAGAGAAGAACGATTTTCGGTCCAATTGGGTCTTTTTTCGCGTTTTTTGGCCTTTTTAAACTATTTTTTAGCTCAATTTAAGCCTATTTTCAGCCATTTTCCAAACATTTTAGGCCTGGAAAAAAAACTAGGGAAAATGAGCTAAAATGAGCTATTTTGGGTTGAAAACGGTCAGAAATGAATGATTAAATTTGGTGTAAAATCACCTGACAATGGTCAAATTTAGCCCAAAAATGACCCGAAATGAAGCCTAATTTGCCTAAAATAGCCTAAAAATGGCCCAAAACGATGCAAAATAGGCCTGGAATGGCCTTAAATCAGGCACTTTTTGAAGGCTTAGTGGGTTTGGAAGGCCTGAAATAGGCCTAAATGGGTCTAAAAACCACCAGAAATGGCCTAAACTGACGTGGAACTTGACTGAGGCTGGTTGGTTCCTTCTAGCTCGTTTTAGGCTGGTTTTAGGCCTATTATGTCATTTCAGGCACCTTTCTGACAGTTTTAGCCTATTTTTAGCCCATTTTAGGTCATTTGAGGCCTGTTTTAGCCCATTGTAGCTATTGTAAGAGCCCATTTTATGCCAATTATTTTGTCCAAAATTGACTATTTTAGTCTAAAAATGACCCGAAATGAAGCCTAATTTGCCTAAAATAGCCTAAAAATGGCCCAAAACGATGCAAAATAGGCCTGGAATGGCCTTAAATTGGTTTAAAAACCACCAGAAATGTCCTGAAATAGGCCTAGACGGGTCTGAAACCACTAGAGAAAGCATGAAATAGGCCTAAAACATAAATTTTTTAATTGTTCCAGGCTCAGTTTAGGCTGATTTTAGGCCTTTCAGGTCATTTGAGGCACCTTTTAATTTAATTTGTTTATTGATCAGGCCCAAAACCTTTCTGACAGTTTTAGCCTATTTTTAGCCCATTTTACCTGTATTAAGCCCATTTTTAGCCTATTTTGTCCTATTTCCAGCTGTTTTTGGCCGTTTGTAGGCTTTTAGGCTCATTTCAGGTAATTTTAATGCTATTTCAAGTCGTGTCATTTTTAGCCATTTTAAGCTCATTTTAAGTCATTTTAAGGCTATGTTTAGCCCATTTCAAGCCTATTCTTAGCTATTTTAAGCTGAAAATAGTCAAATTTAGCCCAAAAATGACGCCAAATTCGCTAAAATTAGTCTAAATTCTCCCATTTGGCACTGAAATAGAGTAAAAATGGCCCAAAACGATGCAAAATATGCCTGGAATGGCCTTAAATCAGGCACTTTTTGAAGGCTTAGTGGGTTTGGAAGGCCTGAGATAGGCCTAAATGGATCTAAAACCACTGGAAAAAGCCTAAAATGGCGTGGAACTTGACTGAGCTGGTTGGTTCCTTCTAGCTCGTTTTAGGCTGGTCTTAGGCCTTTCAGGTCATTCTGACCCGTTTTGGGGGAGGGGGGGCCTAAAGCACGAATTTTCAACCGCTCCAGGCTCAGTTTAGGCTAGTTTTAGGCCATATTTTGACCTTTTCGGTCGAACGCCTATTTTAGCGTATTTTAGGCCCATTTTCAGACTATTTTCAGCTATATTTAGTCTCTTTTAGGCCATTCGTAGGCTTTTTCAGCACATTTCAGACTGTTTTTTGACTAGTTTTAAGCCATTTTTAAGCCAAAAACCGCACCAAAAGTGCCTCTCCAAAGCCGAAATCCTTCTCCTCTGCACCGCGTTTTTTGTCCTTATACAAAAACATGGCCACTCCAATCACAATCATCAGCACATAGCAATATTTCCGCCAATTGTATCGTTTATGGGCGAATAGGACCCCGAAAATCATCACCGGAATGGGTTTACAGCTCTTGGCCAACACTTGAGTGGGGTACGGTAGGTACTGTAGCGCCTGGTTGGACGCGATCATTGCTAGCAGGTAGCTGGCTGCCGATGCGGCGTACATTCTGAAAATAGCGAGGGTTTGGCGTGAAAATGGGCTTAAAATCCGGGATTCTCAAAATGGGACGATTCCAAATCGATTTAAAGCCAATTTTTAGTGGTTTTTGGCTGAAAAATGCTTCAAAATCGACTAAAATCGATCTTAAATAGCTATTTTTAGCCTAAAATCGAACTTTTTGGCTGAAAAATGCTTCAAAAACATGATAAATCGGCTTAAAATGAGCTTAAAAAGCCGATTTTTCGAAAATAGACACGATTCCAGATCGATTTGTAGCCAATTTTCGGCTTAAAATGTCTAGAAGTTCATGAAAAATTGCTTGAAAATCAAGCGAAAATCGATTTTTCTGAAATAAACGAATTCGGATTTAATTCAGCTCAATTTTCGTGATTTTTAGGTGATTTTCGGCTGAAAATGACTCGAAAAATGGCTATTTTTCGCATGAAATCAAATATAGATGAATTTGCATCGATTTTCATGATTTTTCGACAATTTTTGGCTTAAAATATGCTTAAAAATAGCCATTTCCCGCCTAAAATCAAATTTTTCGATTTTTTTTGAAATAAATGAATTTAGTTGAGAAATCGGCTTAAATAAAGCTAAAAACCTGTTTTTTCGAGATTTTTTGTGAAAAATGAGCCAAAATTGAAAAATTGCTCATTTTAGGATCAAAAACTCGATTTTCAACAATTTTTGATCGCGAAAATCGCTTTCTAAACTGTTTTAAGCTTCAAAACTCATCATTTTGAACCTAAATGAGAATTTGCTGAAATTGGCTCTATTTCGAGGTTTTTAGAATCGTTTTTTATGATTTAGAACCTAAAAAACCTGTTTTTTTCGCAATTTTTCAGTCAGAAACCTACTTTTTAACATTTTAAGCCCTCAAAAACTCACTTTGCCGGCACATTATCGATTTCCGTCTTTTTCCGAATCAAATACGCGTAAATCGTATTTCCAGTGCATAGAAAGAACACCAGCGCCTGTGTGAATGTGAATTTCTCGACACTTTCGTCGGGTAGCTCGTATTTGCCTTGTACTCTGGAAGATTGGGCGGGAATTTGAATTTTTTTGAAAAAAAAATTTTTTTTTCGAAAAATTAATTTTTTTAAATTAGCAAAAAACGCACATTCTCTCCTGCTGAATCCCGAAAACAAAATAACATCCTAAAATTCCACCGGCACAAATCAAAAAATGCCAAGACTCGGCTAGCCAGTGTCTTTCCGCCGGTTCGTGTCCTTTTACCATCTGAAAAGGAAGCATATTGTTAAAAAATGGGACACCTGGCGGTCTATTTGATATAAAAGATACAAAAAACTGCAAAAAAAAACATCTGGGTCGATGAAAAATGACCATAAAACACACAAAACGTGGAGTTGTGCATTTGCGCGTCGCGGTGTTTCCTGTTTTGCGTCGTGGTGTTTGCAGACAGAGAGGGGATATTTTGGAGGGAAGTTCAAATCCGAATTTGTTGAGCTGTTTCTAGAAAAATAGCTATTTTTGACTCAGTCAACCAAATTTTCTGAAACTTATATTTTTGAATAGAGCGAATTTAAAACAATATTTTAGTATAAAATTCAACTAGGTTTATATATGAGAAATAGAGTGAAAAAGAGCCAAAATCTGTTTTTTTTTCTTTTACGGGTCTTTTGCTTCCAAAGCCTGTAACTTGGGACTCAATGAACCAAATTTTACAATTTTTATATTTTTGAATAGAGCAAATTTAGAGGAACATTTTGAAATAAAATTTGACTGTTTATTCACCCTGAAAATTCTGAAAAAAACTAATTTTTCCCAAAAAAACATTTCTTTTCTGTTAAAGATGTTTGTTTTTCGAATTTTCTCTTTTTCCTTTGCTGAAAATCTTGCTGAAATCTCATGAAATAGAGTAGATTCTACAACCTTCTAAACTTTTATGCAGTCCGCAAACACACCACGGCCAACTACACACATTAGGCGCCGCCCCTTTACTTGGGTCCATCCAGCTGGCGCGTCAGTTGCGCGCGTTTATTGATTTTCGGCGCATTTTTCCTCGAATTTTCGAGAATTTTCTAGCTTTTCAGCAATGTCAAACGCTGAAAACACATCTGAAAAGTCGGAAAAGGTAGTTTTTCACCTTTCTTTTGGCTGAAATTTTGGATTTTTTCAGTGGAAAAGTGTTACTGATCCGAAGAAAGTTCTCGAAGCGTACTATTCCGAAGGCAATTATTATCACTATGGTGATATCGTTGAGCTGGCACAAATGACAGGACTTTCTCATAAAAATGTACTGGGGTTTTAAGGATTCTTTTTTTTTTCAAAAAATCATAACTTTCGACCCAGTTGTCCAAATTTTACGAATTTTTGATTTTCGGATTCCTTAGATTTTAAGGATTCAAATGATATTAAAGTTGACATAGATTACTGGAAAATTGAAAAAATAGCACAAAAAAGCAGAAAATCGAGCTAGACGAACTTTAATGGCTCTAACTCTGGGTACAGTAACCCGATTTTGTTGAAATTTAAATTTTTGGATTTGGCAGTTTTTAAGGATTAAAATGATATGTAATTTGACCTACTTTCGCAAAAAGTAGTTTTAAAAAGAGCATAAAACCCAGAACCACAGAAACATCAAGATACGATATTTTTAAATGCTCATAACTCCGGACCCACTGGACCAAATTTTTTGAAATTTGCATTTTTGGATTTCTCAGGGTTCAAGGATCAAAATGATACTAAATTTCACAAGTTTAGCTGATAATTTGACAAAAAATGTCGCAGATTTTGCTAAACCAGGCACATCTACCTTAAAAGAGTAATAACTCCGGACCCAATTGCCCAAATTCAATGGAATTTGCATTTTTGGATTTCTCAGACTTTATGGATCTGAATGATACAAAATTTAACCTAGATTTTTCTAAAATTTAAGAAATTGCACAAAAAAAAAACGATACATAAAGGTAGATATCTTTAAAGGCTCATAACTCCGGACCCACTGGACCAAATTGTTTGAAATTCAGATTTTTGGATTTCACAGTTTCCGTAGATCAAGATGATAATAAATTTGATCTACTTTCTTGAGAATAGCCTAAAATTGAGCCAAAAACCAAAAATCACGAAAAAAAATCGAGTTACAGTATCTTTCAAGGCTCATAGCTCAGGAGTCAATAGACCAATTTTTTGAAAATTTGTATTTTTGAATTCCCCTAATTTTACTGATCAAAATGACACTTAATTTGACATATATTACTTAAAACTTTCAAGAAAAAACCCAAAATTAAGGTACGATATCTTTAAGTAGTCATAACTCGGGTACACTTCAAAAAAGTCAGCTAACTTTAAAGGATCATAACTCCGGACCCGATGGACCAATTGTTTTGAAATTTGAATTTTTGGATTCAGCAGGTTTTAAAGATCAGAATGATACTGAATTTGAAATAGATTACTCCAAAAATAGCGAAGATTTGCGTTGAAAAGCAAACAAACCCTCATTTTTTGAAGTATGCTAACTTTAAAGGGTCATAACTCTGGGTACAGTAACCCAATTGTGTTGAAATTTAGATTTTTGGATTTGGCAGGTTTCAAGAATCAGAATGATGCTGAATTTGCTCTATTTACTCAAAAATAGCAAGGATTTGCACTGAAAAGCAAAAACCTCTAATTTTTGGAAGGTCAGCTAACTTTAAACGGTCATAACTCGGGACCCACTTGACCAAATTTTTTGAATATTATATTTTTGGGTTTTGTAGGTTTCGTAGATCAAAATAATATGTAATTTGACCTACTTTCCCAAAAAGTAACTTTAAAAAGAGCCTAAAACCCAGAACCACAGACACATCAAGATACGATATTTTTAAAGGCTCATAACTCCGGACCCAATGGACCAATTTTTTTGAAATTTAAATTTTTTAACTCCCGAGATTCTAGGAATTAGCATGACAATAATTCCAGGTCCGTGACACCCTATGCCGCTTCCGAAAACGAGATGAAAAGGCCGGGAAATTCGTACCACCCCCTCCCCGTCAACAGAATGAATTTAGTGATGAGCAACGGGAGATTCTAGAGGACACATTCGAGAAGCATCCACTGATGGGACAATGGACACCAGAGAAGACGAGAGAGATTTGTGAGATAACTGGGTTGAAAGTGAAACAAGTCAATAATTGGTTATGTCATCAACGGAGGAAACTGGATGGACGAGGGAATGAGAAGGATCGGAGGAGACGGAGAATGATAAAGCTTGAGAAGATCAGATTGGGCACTGCGGTGGGTTTTCGCCATGTAAATTTTCAGATTCAGCAGTTTTTGTAGATCAAAATGATACTAAATTCGACGTTATAGCTCAAAACAGGAGAAAATCTCAGTAGGAAAACTGAAATTACTGGTTTTAAGAGGTTAGCTTGCTTCAAGGAGCCATAACTTTTGACCCAGTTTTCCAAATTTGATAAAATTTATATTTTTAGACTTATCAGACGTTAAGGATTAAAATAATACTAAATTTCATATAGATGTCTCAAAAATTGATTTAAAAAATCATGAAATTTGGTCTATTGGATTCTAAGATTCATGTGAAAACTTGTAGTTTTGATATAGCTAACTTTAAAGGATCATAACTCGACACCTATAGGACCAAATTATGAAAGCTAGATTTTCGGATTTGGCGTATTTTAAGGAACAAAATTATACTAGATTTGACATAGATTGCTTAAAAATTGAAAAAATTACACGGGAAATACTGAAATTACTGGCTTTTTAGAGGCAAGCTAACTTTAAAGGGTCATAACTCGAGACCCAATGGACCAAGTTTTTTGAAAATCATATTTTTGGATTTGTTATTTTTTGGAGATTAAAATAATATGTAATTTAACATATTTAATAAAAAAAAATAACAAAAAAGAGCACAGAACCTGAATTGGTTTTTTGAGCACACCTCCATGCCCCCTCCTTACTCTCGCCTTTAAGCCCCCATATCTTGGTCCCTGTAAAATATATCAAAAAGTGGTCTACTGATAAAATGTTACTGATATTATGATAAACATTTTATCAGTTAACCACTTTTTGATATCTTTCACAAGAAGTTAGATAAATTGGGTTAAAATTGGCATCTAGCTGTCAGGCTTGGAAGCTGAAATCAGAAATGTGGCCTCTAGGTTTAAGGCTCAATTTTTTTGGTTTTTTTTGGTATTTTTTGGGTAAGTGGGTCAAATTGCATATAATTTTAATCTATGAAATCTGGAAAATCCAAAAATGTACTTTTCAAAAAATTTGGTCGATTGGGTCCCAAGTTATGACCCTTTAAAGTTAGCTGACCTTCCAGAAATTGACGATTTCTGTTTTTCTAGTGCAATTTCTTCAATTTTTGAGTAATCTATGTCAAGTTTAATATCTTTTTAATCTTTAAAATCTGCCAAATCCAAACATATAAATTTTTGAATATTTGGTCAATTGGGTCCCAAGTTATGACCCTTTAAAGTTAGCATACTTCAAAAAATGAGGGTTTGTTTGCTTTTCAACGCAAATCTTTGCTATTTTTAAAGTAATCTATTCCAAATTTAGCATCATTCTGATCTTTAAAACCTGCTGAATTCAAAAATAAAAATTTCACAAAAATTGGTCCATTGGGTCTGGAGTTATAATCCTTTAAAGCTAGAAATCTAAAATTTCAGAGAGTCAGCGCGTTCTCACCACCTGAGCTGGATCTAATGGAGGCCCTTCATTTGAAGGCGGAGCTTGCTGAAATTGGTGGAAAACAATTCAAGATACCGTATGGAGAGCTGGTGGAGAAAACTGGAAAAGATCGGAAAAAAGTGGGCATTTTTAGGCATTTTCTGGCCTGTTCTAGGCTTTTTTAGGCCAATTCTAGGCCAATTTTGGTCGGTTTTAGGCCAATTTAGGCATTTCAGATCCGCGACTGGTTCTCGAAACGAAAATTGAGAGACAAGAATTTTGTGAAATTGATGGAAAATCAAAAAATTGAGCAAATTCAAAATGAGGAAATCGAAGATGAGCCATCGGGTAGTAATCAGGAGCCAACGCCGCCAAACGACTTGCATCAAAATCTACAGACGATTCTTAACAGCTTAATTTTTCCTGATAACCCGATATAATGTAAATAAATGATTCTGTGATATTTGTGGTTTTGAAAAATGTGAATTTCAAGAAATTTGAGCAATTGGGTCCCGAGTTATGCACCTTGAAAGATATGGTAGCGTGTTTTTTGGGTTTTTTGAGGGTTTTCAAAGCAATTTAGTGAAATCTAGGTCAAATTTGGTATCAAATTGAACTGCAAAACTTGAGAAATCCAAAAATGCAAATTTCAAAAAATTTGGTCTTCTGGGTCTCGAGTTATGAGCCTTTAAAAATATCGTTTCTTGATGCTTCTGTGGTTCTGGGTTTTATGCTCTTTTTAAAGTTACTTTTTGGGAAAGTAGGTCAAATTACATATTATTTTAATCCTTAAAACCTGCCAAATCCAAAGATCTAAATGTCAACAAAATCGGGTTACTGTACCCAGAGTTATGAGCCTTTAAAGAAAACTGACCTCCTAGAAATCGACAATTTTAGTTTTTCTGGTGCAATTTTTCCAGTTTTTAAGAAATCTATGTCAGATTTAGAATAGTCTTGATTCTCAAAATTTTCTTAATTCAATAATCTAAACTTCATCCCATATGGTCAAGGGGGTCCCGGGTTATGAGCCTTGCAAGATACTGTAACTCTAATTTTTAGTGATTTTAGGTTTTAGCCTCAATTTCAGGCTATTGTTGAGAAAGTAGGTAAAATTTATTATCATCTTAATCTACAAAAACTGCGAAATCCAAAAATCTAAATTTCAAAAAATTTGGTTTTCTGGGTCCCGAGTTATGAGCCTTTAAAATTAACTTACCTTTTAGAAATATACTATTTCAGTTTTTAAGCGCAATATTTTCACTTTTTGGTAAATCCATGTCAAATTTAACATCATTTTGATCCCTAAAACCTGCTAATTCCAAACAATTAAATTTTCAAAATTTTGGTCCATTGGGTCCCAAGTTATGCGCCTTTAAAGTTAGCTGACCTCCGAAAAACAGGTAATTTTAGTTTTTTCTGGTGCTATTTGTCCAATTGTTGAGAAATGTATGTCAAATTTAGTATCATATTGATTTATGAAATCTGGGAAATCCGAAAATCTGGGTTTCCAAAAAATCTATTGAGTCCCGAGTTATGGCCCTTTAAAGCTAGCACCCTCCTCATTTCCCAAACTCTCTCGCTTTTCCTTCAATTTTGTCTATTTTTCTCTGAATTTTTCAATTTCTCACAACATAAACGACCAGAATCGCCAGTGTCCATCAATGCTATGCGTCAGTGGCAAAAAGCGAGAGAGTACGGTGAATTGAGAGAGTGGTTAGAGAAAAGAAGAGTCACGAGGCGCTTCGCTGCCCCCATCGTTCCTCAACTGTTTACACCGGACACTTTTTGACCTTTTTACAGTGGAAATAGATTTTAAACTCAATATTTTTTCAAAATTTCGGCAATTGCAAGTTCGCTCTATCGAGAAAACTAGGTTTTAGCATTTTTCCAGGATTTTTACATGCGAAAATTGAAAAAAAATATTTTTTTTTGAATTTCCTCATTTTTTCTGTAGTCAAAAAGCTAGAAAATTGCCAGAAAAAAGCCCTATAAAACGGGTGTTTCTTTCGAAAAAAAAAAAGAAATCTCAAAAAAAACTAAATTCAAATCTCCCTCCAATTTTTTGTGTCCATGGAGCGCGTTTGCTGCGCTTTTCGCGAAAATTATTTATTTTTTGTCTAATTTTCCTCATTTTCCACCGATTTTTCCCCATCTTTTAGGTAAACCAGGTGTCTAGGAAGCATAATGATCAAGTCGCCACTCGATTCGTTCGGCGAATGGACCGATATGTCCGTTTTCCTGGAGTTGAAGCCGAGAAACGACCTGGCATCGTTGTTTGTCGACGTTCCGCCGGGTTTCCGCGAGAAAGCTGAGGTTCCAGAGCAACAGAATCCAAGGAAGATGTTAGTGACTATGAATTACCGCTGAATATTCGATTTTTTCGAAAAATTTCCAAAAAAATTTTTTTCAAAAATTTCATAAATTTTTTTTTTGATTTTCAGGCATTTTTGACCTATTTTATGCTAAAATATACCGTTTTGAGTCATTTTCAAGCTCAAAATCACCGATTTCCATCGATTTCCACCCGAAAAACAGCAATTTTTCAGAAAATATTCGGATATCAACGTCGTCAACGTCACCGACAACTTCATCAGAATCGGAGCACCGCCCACGCCAGAAACCATTCAAAAAAGGCACAAGGAAGCACAAAATCAACAAAATCAGCCGAAAAAACAAAGAGAACGGAGCCAATCGACGTCTTCATCGGCTCCAAGCTCACCAACCAAAAAAATGCAGAAAAAATCGAAAAAGGGCGAAAAGTACGGGGATTTTTGGGTTTTTGAGTGAAAAATTTGAATTCTAGACAAAAAATTAGGCGGGAAACGTTGAAAATTTGAATTACTGGGAAGTTTGGAGAGAAATTCAAAATTTCGAAAAAAATTTTTTCGAAAATTTCGAAAATCATCAAAACTCGCATTTCTCGGATTTCCAGGCTCAAATTAACTGAAAATTCAGATTTTTCAGCTCATTTTAGTCTAGAAAAGCTGAAATTCTAGAAAATTCCAAAAATCGAAATTTTAAAATTTTCGAAAAAAAATGTTTTTTTGAAAATTTTGAAAAATCTTCAAAATCTCATATTTTTAGCTTTTCCAGACTAAAATTAACTGAAAATTCAGATTTTTCAGCTCATTTTAATCTAGAAAGACTGGAGAATCTGGAATTTTCAGATTTTCAGCAAAATTGAAATTCTGGAATTTTCCAAAAAAATAGTTTCTAAAATCTGATATTTCTTCGCTTTCTAGGTTAAAATTAGTTGGAAATTCAAAATTCTCAGATAATTTTAGTCTAGAAAAGCTGAAAATCTGTAATTTTCGAAAAATTTTTTTTTTCGAAATTTTCGAAAATCATCAAAACTCACATTTCTCGGATTTCTAGGCTCAAGTTAACTGAAAATTCAGATTTTTCAGGTTGTTTTGGTCTAGAAAAGCTGAAATTCTAAAAAATTCCAAAAAATCGAAATTTTGAAATTTTCGAAAAATTTTTTTTCTTCAAAATCTCATATTTTCTGACATTATAGACTAAAATTGACTGAAAATTCAGCTTTTTCAGCTTGTTTTAATCTAGATAACCTGGAGAATCTGGAATTTTCAGATTTTCAGCAAAATTGAAAATTTAAAAAAAAAAAGTTCCAATAATTCCGAAAAAAATTTTTTTCGAGAATTTCAAAATTTTGATATTTTTGTATTTTCTCGCTTTCTTGTATAAACTGACTGAAAAAATGACAAAAATCTGAAAATCCCACTGAAAATGAGTCATTTTCAGCCATTTCCGCTAAGCTCCGCCCACTTTGATCCCAAGATCCGAAACCTCAAAGTGGGCGGAGGCTAGGCGTGTGTTTGGGCTCATTTTGAAGCTCTTAATAAGGTGAAAATGACTAATGTGGTGGGGAATTCTGAAGCATTCTAGAATTTTTGAAATTTCAAAAAAAAAAAAAAACAAAAAAAATTTTCAGATCCTTCGACTTCAAAGCGACCCGTTTCGGCGCCGCCGTCCGTGACGTCGTCATAAAACCCCAAACCCTGTGCTCCCCAGCTTTCGACGACTCAACTGGGCGCATTTTCATGGCCAAAGTGAGCGTGGAGCCCCTATCGGGCCCCCTGGTCCCAAAAACGGCCCACCGATTGGCTGTGGATGTGAACAAATTGGAGAAATTGGAGGAATTTTCCGCGAAAGCGGTGCCACGTGTCAAGTGTGCCCGCTGTAAGCTTGGAATCCTCTCGGAGGAGTACATTATGACTGTTGGATGTCTTCCCGACGACGAGTTCCTGGCGACCACTCAATCCGCTGATTTCTACTGTAGAGATTCGTGTGGCGCCGGTTGTGATCCGGATAGGTGTGTAGATTGGGGGGGGGGGGGGGGGGACAAAATCACAAAAAAATCGACTGAAAATGACCAAAGATAGCTAAAAATTGGTTGAAAAAAGGCCTGAAAATGTCTAAAGATAGCTGAAAATTGGTTTAATGTGACCCCTGCGCAGGATCAAAAAAATTGCTCAAACTAGTGAAAAATCGAGTAAAAATCACCTGAAAATAGCCTAAAATGGCCCGAAATAGCAATAAATCGACTGAAAATGGCCTGAAATAGTGAGAAATTGGCTGAAAAAGGCCTGAAAACGAGCCTAAAAGGCCTAAAATTGCCCAAAAAATGAAACCAAGGTTTTAGTATGGTGGCCTAACTTTTGCCAGTTGGGGGTTTTCTAGGCCACCATGTTACAATGACTTAGAAATGACCTAAAATGCCTCTGGTAGGTTTTCTAGGCCATTGTAACGTGATGGCCTAGAAAACTCCAACTTGCAAAAGTTCGGCCACCATGCTGAAATGGCCTAGAAACCACACCAGGGGCATGTTAGGACATTAGCATAGTTTTTATGAATATAGTGGCCTAGAAAATTCAATTTTTAGAGGGTTTCTAGGCC